CCCCAATTCTCTCCCCTGTCCCCTGTGGGGGAGTGAGCGAGCGGCCGTGTTGGCTGCCAGCCCAGTGCCAGCCCAGTGCCACCAGCACAATCAAAGCCAGGGCTCAAGACACTTATTTAGACCCAGCACTGCCTTGCGTTGCCTGAGTACAAAGCAGAGAAGGAGGTTCCTCTGGCACGTGTCTGTACAGCTCCTTGTCCAGGGGGGACTGGATCCCCAATGTTTGTAAACTGAAGGCAGATTTGACCCTAATTCCCTATTATTTCTCTCTGTCCCCCTGAGTCTCTTAATTGAAGGTCCCTGGGGGTTTCTGAGACCCCGTAAGTGGCTGTTTGTGGGCTGGGTGAGTCCAGCTCGGGTTTTCTCAGCACAGTCAAACCTGAGGCTCCATGGCAGCAGAATCTGATGTGTTTCTGAAATGCAAAGGGCAGGAACGTTGCCGTGAGGTTTCATACCTCAGACGGCGCTTGCAGAGCCTGATCTTGATGATTAGAGGTTTCTCTACATGGAACTCAAGAGCAAAGTAAGGAAATAGTGTTTAATCCCTTCTCTCTGTTCTAATTAATATGCTAATTCATGTGGGTTTTTTCCTGGTTACAGGAGAGTTAGAAAATGTTAGATCTAGAATGGATCGCTGTGATGATTTGTTCTGACATCCTGCACCAGAATTCCAGGAGAACTTCATGACCAATTTACTCATTGAGCCCTTCAGCCCATCATATGGCTTCAGACAAAGCACATGTCTCAGAAGAATTTCTGGTTTTAGCTTTACAGTCCCAAAAGATGAAGAATTTATCATCTGTCCTTTTTTATTTCCAGGTTTGCAAACTAGTGGTGTCTCAATTCCTCCCATTTCTGTGTAACTTCAGTTTCCAGTCACTGGGTCACGTTGTGCTTGTGGGTTATATGGAAGAGTCATCGCTGTCGACCACGTACAGACTGGTGGACAATTTTTAGGTCAGTTCAGCTTTTCTTTTGCCCATCACATAGTCTAAACTGAATAAGACTTTCAGTAAGAGACCAGTTTCCCCAGAGAATAAGAAAAATCTCTGCTTTGATAGAACTCTGCGAGGCTTGATCCTGTCTCATATTGATTGTCAGTGCTCCCCCTGGAGCTCCGTGACCCCCATTTCCCAGGCAGAGCTCTCCTTTGCAGCAGTGGCTGTTGTCACACAGGGGCTCAGGGTTTGGTTCAGGAGCAGTTCAGCAGCAGACATCACATCCCTGCTTCCCTGGCTGCCTTGTCCAGGCTGTTCCGTGTGTCCTACCTGGGGGACTCTGCGTTGCCACATGATTTATTCCTGCAGCTCTTCTCTGGAAGCTCTTTCTCTCTGTTGATACTTCAGGTGAAATTTGCATTAAATTTATATGTCCATTTTTTAAAATACATTATTCAATTGTTATCTATTGCATGAACAGGTTTTGTTGGATAAAAAGTTATATTTACCATGAATAAACTTAAAACACCCTCAATACTTTAATCCACCTTCCCAAGAAAAACCTGGATCACAGGGGCTGCAAAAGTGTAACTCACTGCTGGATGGACACGTGTGACCTCATCATGATTGACAACTTTAAACCATTAGTATTTAAAAACAAACATTGCTCTTGGGAACTTGAACACAGTGAGGCAGCTGGTAAATTTCCAAACTCTTTGATGCTTTTGTCTGATTTTTTTTTTCTCATTCATTAATATTTTATCCCATAGTCATCAATGAAAAGGGAAAAATAATCAGCAGCAGGTTCATTAAGCACTGCCATCAGCCTGGGTAATTGATTAAATGTGTATCACCTGCGTGTATCAGTACATGTACAGCTGTTTTCTGGCTTGTGGGCAGTACACTTGTTTTTTGAGGGTTTTTGAGGGTTATTTGAGTAGAGATGCTCCCTGGTCCATCATGTGGTTGCCAGCAGCTCCAACTCCTGTTACACGTTGATCCTGGTGGGTACCCTGGGGGTGGAGGTTCCCCACGTCTGGCTCTCCATCCCTCTCACCTCCATCTACACTGTGTCCCTCACAGGGAACTGCACAATCCTCTTTGTCATCTGTCCCAATCTGAGTCTCCACGAGCCCATGTCCCAGTTCCTCTCCACACTGCCCATCACAGTTTGGGTTTGTCTCCATCTACAGCGCCAACTCTGGTGACAGTTTTCTGGGCCAACTACAAGGAAATCCGTTTTGAAGCCTATTTTGCTCAGCTTTATCTAGTTCATTCCTTCTTCATGGAGCCTTTCCTTCTTCTGGCCATGGCCGTGGACATCTCCTACCCGCTGAGATACTCCTCCATCCTCACCAGTGCTAGGAGAGGCAGGACTGGGCTGGCTGCTCTCTGCAGGTGTCTCTTAGGAGATGTGCAGACATCACATCCAGTAACTGGTATGGCTTTGCTTTAGCCAGTCTCTTCCTGACATCAGACCTCACCCTTGTGTCACACATACCGATTGCTGGGGCCATTCTGAACATCTCAAGGCTTTGAACAACTGCTTGTCCCGCATCCTGGCAGTCTTGACCCTGTACATCCTGCACATCCCCATGGTTGGCTTGTCCTTGGTTCACCAGTATGGCCAGCATGCTTCCCCTCTGTCCTGGTTTTGGCTGGGACAGAGATGGTTTCTTTTTAGCAGCTCAAACAGTTCTGGGGTTTGGGTTCAGCTGGGATTTGTCAGGAGAAGAACATTGAGAACACACCGATGTTTTCAATTGCCACTGGAAGTTTAAGGACTTTGTGTTTTGCTGCTCTGCAAGTGCAGGGTATAGGGGCGGGGGGCAGGGAATATTACAATTAGTAATCCAAGCAGGCACTTGGATGTGCCAATGGGATATTCCATATCATACCATGTCATGTTCAGTATATTAATGTGGATCACTCGCACTCGGGCTCCAGTGTATCATTGCTCCTGCTTGTGTGGAAAGATCCACAACTGGACAAATTACTCCAGATGCAGATACAAACTTGCTAATTAAAGGGAAAAATCTCTTCCTTTGACCTGCTGGCTGCATGGTCACAAATGCCACCCAGTCCACAGTTGGTCTTCATTGCTGCAAGGGGACAGCAATGACTCATGGCCAATGTGCTGCCCATCAGGCTCGTTCTGAAGAGCTGCTCTCCAGCCAGGCTGTCCTGGTGAACACCAAGGCAGGACCTGGTCTGTCCCAGGTGCAGGAATTTGGGGTTTTTAAATGAACCTCAAAGCACACAGTTGAGAATTTCACAGAATCCCAGAATCACCTGGATTGGAAAAGCCCTTTAAGATGATCATCGAGTCCAACCATGAACCCAACACTGACCAGTCCCCTATGACTAACCCATGTCCCTCAGCACTGTGTCTACACGACTCTTCAATCCCTCCAGGGATGGGGACTCCACCACTGTCCTGGGCAACCCCTTCCAATGCCTCAGAACCCTTTCAGCAACGAAATTCTTCCTCACATCCCATCTCAACTGCCCTGGCCACAACTGGAGCCCATTTCCTTGTGTTCTAACAAGGTGCAATTTCTCACTGCTTAGACAGGGCTCAACCCTGCCGAGTGCTGGGTGCCCAGACCTGACTCAGAGCCTCATGAATGTCCCACCAGCTAGGTCAATGCCAAAGCACTTTAAACAACCCACCTCCCAAGCCCCCATCTCTTCCCATGTCCAGGTAATTAAATCACTCTGAACTGAAGCAACATCAAATCCTGCGAGTCTGAGCACGTCCCAGGGTGGGGAGGTGCTGGGACTGAGCTCCTCTGGAAGGAGGACACTATTTCAGGCAGCTCTTGGGCACACAGACACATATATGCCTTAGTCACTATGACTCACACTGGATACAGAATCAAAAATGAGCAAATTTTAATTCTGGAAGAAATGATTCATTAGCATCAGATCATTATTTCTCGCTGTGGTGATGTTGCCTACAAGGAATGCAACAGGCTCAGTGTCAGTGGGTATTTGCTGTCTACCTGCACCCGGGCTGGGGAGGTTTAATAAGGTCTATTGCCCAACAGCCAGTGGAATTAAAGGCTTGGCACCTAAAATCCATTAAACACCTCTGAAAATCCCTGTCTGCAATGTGAAAGCTACAACACTGCTAACTGGCAAGCTTCAGGCACAGAGGGGAAACCTCTCCAAGAATACAACAAGCCCTTCTCTAGTTCTTGCTGAGCTGACACTGAAATTAATAGGAGACATCTGGCTGCTCCCCTCGTACAGGCGAAGCGCAGTCCCCTCGAGCGGTCATGAGTTAAGCTTTCTCGGTTAGACTAAGAGATCCTTGAGCTGAAGGTGATAGCTCAAACCTCCAGAAAAGAAAAAAGAAAAAAAAAAGAAAGAAAAAAGAAAAAAGAAAAAAGAAAAAAGAAAAAAGAAAAAAGAAGAAAAAACCCCCAGGTTTGTGAGCTGCACCCACCCTACCCATTTATTTGAATCTGTTCCCCAGGAGCCCTTTTTGCTCTGTGCTTTTATGACTGTCATTCCATGACTTCACATGTCTTCCCTTTTTTTCTAATGACAGGTTGATCTGTGTGTGTGTTTTGTTTTCCCAGAGCAGCTTATGCAACCCCTGCTCATCGTGCCAGCCCTCAGCATCACCATCTCCCAGCTCTGAGAGATGGAGCAGAATGTGAGGGTGACAGCAGGGACGTGCCTCCATTTGAAGAGCAGCTCCTTTCAGAAGTGCCTCGGCTGAGGAGCAGATGAGCTGTATCCTCAAAGTGCAGAAGTTCCCGGTGATTTGGGGTAGATCAATGTTATGGCACCAAACTGAAGCGCTGCTCCATGACCCAGTGCTGAAAATAGACCCAAGTGCTTTTTTGAAAACCATCATATTTGATGAATTTTCGAGCTGACTACTGAAACAATGAGGTAGCAAACATTTCTAGTCACTTCTGAACATTTAGGCCGTTATATGACCACAGAGAACATGAAAACTCAGCAATAACACCCAAATCTGGGGCTCCAAGAGATGAATTCGGTTCCTTTTGTGCTTTGCCTGACACGGAGGCTGCTAAGCTCACACGTATAACTGCTGTGTGCTCACACATCTTCAGAGCCCCCACACATAATATCACTGGAAATAAAGTCAGAATTCACCAAGATAACAGGCACAGCCTCCAGTCATTGCAGTATCTGGAGACTGCGACGTCTGTGGGGTGAGTCTAGAGAGTCCAGGCTCACAAAATGACAGATTTCCATGGGAGAGGACCCAGGAAGGGTTAACACTTGCTCTAGGACTAGGTTCACGGTGGGGATCTCACACCAGGCTCACCCCAAGTCCCCATTAGACTCCAGTCCCCAAGGATGTTATGAGCACAAGAGTCACCAAGCTGAGAGATGGTGTAGAGGGGCCAGGTCAGAGCTCAGGCAGGTTTATTTCCTGCATATTGACTGCAACAGCCAAATCATCCTTAGTAGGTGAGACAAGGAGCTTGATTGATTGGCACTTCCAATTCTGGCTTTCAACAGGAGCGCAGAGCACTTCAGCTGTGAAATGGTTTTGCTTTGTTTTTAAAGCTTATATATCAGGTCACACCAAAAAAAGGGGTTACTTTTCGTCAGGAAACTTGCAGGTGGGTGTCTTGCCTTCACTTCTTTGGGAGGATTTGTTTAAATCCACCTGTCCTCCCCTCTTCTCAGCTTTGTAATTCTCATCTGTAACAAGCTGTTCAGTCAATAGCTTTGTACTGCTCTGAACCACCCTGTCTGGGTGGGTGAATGGTGAGCAGACAGGGTCTGTGCATCTTCATGCAGAGTTCAAAGATGAACAAAGGTGCGTGTCCAGAGAAGGGCAACGGAGCTGGGGAAGGGTCTGGAGCACAAGTGTGCTGAGTTCCCTTGTGGCTGAGGGAACTGGGGGTGTTGAGCCTGGAGAAAAGGAGGCTGAGGGGAGACCTTGTGGCTCTGTGCAAGTCCCTTGGAGGAGGGTGGAGAGAGGTGGGGGTGGGTCTGTCCAACCAAGGCCCAAGGGACAGGCCAAGAGGAAATGGGCTCCAGTTGTGGCCAGGGCAGTTGAGATGGGATGTGAGGAAGAATTTCTTTGCTGCAAGGGTTCTGAGGCATTGGAAGGGGTTGCCCAGGGCAGTGGTGGAGTCCCCATCCCTGGAGGGATTGAAGAGTCGTGTAGACATAGTGCTGAGGGACATGGGTTAGTCATAGGGGACTGGTCAGTGTTGGGTTCATGGTTGGACTCGATGAGCTTAAAGGTCCTTTCCAACCACAACAATTCCATGATTCTATGACTTCACTGTGTTGCAGTTTGCAATCATCCCTCTAATTGGGTTTTCACTAAACCCATGTGTCCAGCCAGCTCACAAACTTCCCTTGATCTTTAGACTCAGCCATTAGACAATAGCATTATCTGTATTTCTTTCTATATTGCAGAGATCACTTGTTTTTAATGTGTATTTTATCAATACTTTATACTCTTGACCACTGGGAGATGTGAAATACTACAGCTGCCTTGTCCATCAAATCAATGCAAACACAATGAACATGTGACAAGAGAAGACGAATATGAGAGGTAAGTTATTAAACAATATTTCCTGTATGATTTCTAGAGCCAGAACCTACTTCTTTATTTATTTTTATTACATTACCTGTGAAGCTGCATTTTAAAATTCAGTGACATACTCCCCAGGGAGCTGCTATCTGTTACAGACCATTTTCTCCTCACCAGTGGAAGAAATCTCCTTGTGCAGCGTTGTGTGCTACTGTTCCATCCTCAGCCAAACACAGATCTGAAGCACACTGCCCTTTCCCTGCCAACTCTCAGTCATTAAACAATATACAACTGGCTTGTTTGCAATTAATTTCTCCAGCTTTCTTCTCGTCAAGCGCTGGGAAACTTAAGGATTAAATGTCCCCGTGCCTGATATAAAGTCCTAAAAACTGCAATATTTTCTCCAATAAACTGCATGCAGGAAGTTCCTCTTCCATATGGCACGTCAAAAGACAGTCTGAGCTTTTCCATGTCCTTTGGCAGGCAGTAACCTGGACCACCTCAAGGTTCTATCGTTTACTGGGCAGCTGAGGTTGTGAGCACAGAGGTAAAGATGCAGACCCAGAAACACAGATGGGAATCATATCACTCGCTTGTTGCATCCAAAGCAGCAGGAGACTCACTGAAAAGCAATTTCTGAGGAGGGCAAATGAAGTCCTGCTGAGGCAGACTGAGGGCTGAGGGAATCCACAGCGTGTGCTCAGCCTTCCTAAGATCAGGAAAGCTTCTGCAGTGGGTTCATCCCTTCCCCTCTGCAGGTCGGGCTGTGCACAGGGACCAAAGGGACAAGTTTTCCAGCACAGCCTTTCCTCTCCAGACCTGAGCACAAGCACTTGGGTTGGGTTGGTTTTTAACAAGCACAGCTGCTTTGTTGGTTTTCTCATCACGTTGCAGTCCCAGCCTTGCAGCCCTTTGCACAGCACCTGAAGTTCTGAACTTTGTGTCTTGAGCTTGCCCTGTGCTCCCTTCACACCCAACAGTCACAGGTCGCTCTGCATTCACAGCCACATTATCTTTGTCCCTCATTGCTAAACCCCATCACTTACACCAGTGACACAATGGCATTTTGTAAGGAAACCATCAGGATAATATCCCAAAACAACATCTGGGCTTGTCCCTGACCAGCCTTGGTCAGTGGCCACCCCCTTGAGGGAACTGTGAACCCCAGGAACTGTACGTGGACAGACACTTGTTGGTCTGTTCAACCAAGGCCCAAGGGACAGGACAAGAGGAAATGGGCTCCAGTTGTGGCCAGGGCAGTTGAGATGGGATGTGAGGAAGAATTTCTTTGCTGCAAGGGTTCTGAGGCATTGGAAGGGGTTGCCCAGGGCAGTGGTGGAGTCCCCATCCCTGGAGGGATTGAAGAGTCGTGTAGACACAGTGCTGAGGGACATGGGTTAGTCATAGGGGACTGGTCAGTGGTGGGTTCATGGTTGGACTCAATGATCTCAAAGGGCTTTTCCAATCCAGGCAGTTCTGGGATTCTGTGGTTCTGGGATTCTTCGAAAGCTGCTGTCTTGTGGGTGCTCTGGACATGTCAGCAGTGGTCTACAGACCCATATGATCCCACCCAGTCCCTGTGGGACTTTCTTACTTTCTGATTGCAGTGGAACTGCCCATATTCCCTGTGCCAGAGACCAAGTCCTCCCCTTCCCACCCAGAGGCTTTGTACTTCCCTTTCCTCCAAGGGCTCAGTGATGGTTGAAGCCTCCCTTATAGGTGGGTGCTCTGGACATGTCAGCAGTGGTCTACAGACCCATATGATCCCACCCAGTCCCTGTGGGACTTTCTTACTTTCTGATTGCAGTGGAACTGCCCATATTCCCTGTGCCAGAGACCAAGTCCTCCCCTTCCCACCCAGAGGCTTTGTACTTCCCTTTCCTCCAAGGGCTCAGTGATGGTTGAAGCCTCCCTTATAGAATCATAGAATCCCAGACTGGCTTGGGTTGGAAGGGACCTTAAAGCTCCTCCAGTTCTGGTTGCTCAGAGCCCTGTCCAACCTGACCTGGAATGTTTCCAGGGATGGGGCATCTACCACCTCTCTGGGCAACCCGGGCCAGGGTTTCACCATCTTCATTTGTCCTGGTTTTGCTTGGATAGGGTTAATTTTCTTCTTAGGACCTAGAAAGCAGTGTGTTTTGGTTTCAGTGTGGGCTTTGTTATGAGAAGAATGTTGATAAGGTACCAATGTTTTTCATTGCTGCTGGAAGTCCAAGGTCATCGTGTTTTGCCAGACTGCAAGTGCAAGGGACTGGGTGGGGGGGAAGCGCAGTAACTAGCAAAACCCAAAATTATCATTTGGAAATGCCAATGAGATATTCCATATCATATCCCATCATGGTCAGTATCCTAATGAAGGCTGATGGGGAAATGGGGGGATTCTCTCAGGAAACACTTGGGCTCAGTCTTCTGAGATTGGGGTTTGGGGTTCAGGTTCCTTTTTTCACTCCTCCAGGATCGCTGTCGGTGGGTGGTGAGCAACTGTACTGTGCATCACCCATTGTTATATATCTATTATTGTTATCACTATTATTATAATTACTATATTAATTTTATTTGACTCCAATTATTAAATTGTTCTTATCTCAACCTGACCTTTACCCCTCCAATTGTCTCCCCTGTTCCCTGGGTGTTGGGGGGCAGAGGGGACGGTGTGAGCGGCTGTGTTGTGTTTGGTTGCCAGCCCAGTTAAACCACCACACAGGCACCTGGGTGAGCGAGATTGCTGTGCCACACACAGAGCCACACACCTCGCTGAGGGACCCTGGGCTGGTGCTTCTCGAGGTGTCGATAACGTTGCAAATCAAGGCCCAAGGTTTGATTTCACCTGAGTTCTCACCTCTATTGATTCAAACCACTGGTAGTGTTGAGATTTGCATTAATTTGTTTGAAGAAGTGCTGGTGACCCAGGGACCTCAGTGAGGGTTCATAACGTTGCTCCCTAGGTCCAGGCTCAGTGGGATCTGGCTGGTGAGACCCCACCAGCCCATCCATGTACTTCACTCACTCAGAAACCACAGGAAAAATTCTTCCTGAACATTTCTGCAGAGGCTGTTTGGTCAGTGACGCGGCTGTATCTGCTGGCACTTTGACTGCTGCGGGGCTGCCAGCTGAATTTAAAGGGGTTTATTGATCAGTGAAGTGTCAGTTATTCAATTCTCCAGCCACCCAGCAGAATTGCTTCTTTATTACTCTCTAAAGGAGCAACGTTCAGGACGGGACACACGTTCCTACAACAAACCTACTGCAAAATATCAGCCCAGATTTGACACACACATGCAAAGAAATGATTGTGGTTTATATCACATATTTTATCAGCCCCCCAGTACCTGAAGGGGCTCCAGGAAGGCTGGGGAGGGACTTTGGCCAAGGGCAGGGAGTGAGAGAACAAGGGGTGATGGCTTGAAAGTGTCAGAGGGGAGATGGAGCTGAGATGTGAGGAAGAAATTGTTTGGTGTGAGGGTGGTGAGCCAGTGTCCCAGGTTGGGCAGAGAAGCTGTGGCTGCTCCTCCCTGGAAGTGTTTGTGGCCAGGCTGGATGAGGCTTTGAGCAACCTGGTCTAGTGGAAGGTGTCCCTGCTGCTGGCATGGGGGTTGGGACTGGAAGAGCTTTAAGGTCCCTCCCAACCCAAACCAGTCTGGGAATCCATGATGACAGATATGCAGAATTTTCAATTAAAATTAAACCCAAATGAGTAGTTTGACCCAATGCAACTCAAACACTGGAAACCAGAGCCAAACTTAGATTTGTTTTTTTACTTCAAAACGATATAAAATCAGTAAATCCCAGCACAAAGAAAGGCACCACCTCTGTTTTATGAGGGAACCAGTGGCAGTGCTGTCAATGTGCCCTTTGCTGTGCTGCAGCAGTGGCTTCTCCCTCCCTCCCTGGCAGCTCTTGTGACTGGATCATCTTCACAGCAATTCTGCAACGTTAAGAGCCAAGTGGGATTTGATCGGTGTCAGAACTGAGATGGGTATTTCCTTTTTTTGTTGTTTTTTTGTTGAAATGTGGGTTACACAGCAGGGCAGACAATGGCAAGATGTACACCAAGAGGAAAGAAAGATCCCGAGCGCTAAACAAGGGTCTGGGGGCAGTTTCACTACAACAGACTGGGTTTAAGGCAGAGCAGCTGCTGGATTTAGATGGTTCCTCAACCACTTGCTTAGCACTGACTATTCCTTGTGCTCATTGGGATGGGGACTCCACCACTGCCCTGGGCAACCCCTTCCAATGCCTCAGAACCCTTTCCGCAAAGAAATTCTTCCTCACATCCAATCTAAACATGAAACATCGGGAAAGGATCCTCTGTTGGGGTGAAGTTTTCAAGCTGCTGATCTTTAGCCACGGGGAGGGTGGTGGGTACCTTGGAGGTCTCACCAGGCTCTTCACCTCCAACCATGCACACACCTGAGAGAGGTGGAGGAGGAGCCGTTCCTCCCTGTACCAGCTGCATCTCCCTCTTCCAGCCCCACGGAAGGTTCAGCCCCAGGACTGAGGACCATCACCCTCCTGCGTTTTTCCAGTGCAAGGAAGCAGCTTATCCTTCTCTGCAGCTGTGATCCCACCTCATCCTCTCTTTCCACCTTGCACTGACCCATCACTGAGCTCTCAGCTCCTCTTTGAAAAGGGCAGAGGCAGCAGCTTTCTCACAGGGGTGGCTTTTTGGGGTCCATGAGGACAGAACACTCAGAGCACTGGGCAAGTTTGCGTGAGCTTCTGGAGCCAAAGGTACGGCTGGGCTGCCTGCTCTGATGCCTCTGGAGCATCATTCTCCTCTATTATAACCCATCTTTTTAAAAAACACAATTTCAGGTGTTCTTTTTGGAACACTTTGTTGCCTATTTGACCAAAGTATGGTCAAATAATGTAGTTAAGGAATGAAGAGACCCCATGCAAGCTAACGTGCAGCTCTTGCTTTTATTTCTGTGTTATTCCTTTTGGAGACTTGTTCAATACCATGAATTTTAAGAAAGAGACAGTTCCTGACATGGACTCCATTACACACCCGTGATTCGGAGCCAGCCCATTACGTGTCTTTTCACCTGACTCCAGAGAAAACAACCAAGATGTAGATTTGTTGTCACACTACGGTGAAAGCCACCCACCTCCACCTTGTAGGGGATTTCCCACAAGTGACATATCTGGGGTAGGTCCCCATTTCTTTGGTCACTCCATGGCCAATTAGAGGTCCTGGATTTTGGCTTTTGTTTTACATATTCTACAAATAGTTGGGGAAAGTGAGGTGGGGATGTTGGGTGTCCTGTATTTGAGTGGAAGGTGTCCCTGCTGCTGGCAGGGGGGTTGGGACTAGGTGATCTTTAAGGTCCCTTCCAACCCAAACCAGTCTATGATTCTAAGACACAGGCACATGTTGCCTGAAGCATTGCAGAGAGAGCATTTGGGGTGGGGAGTTGGAGTCCCACCGAGGTCTCCATCACTTTCTGATAGTGACATCTCACTCTCGCAGCGAACGGCTCTTGGGGCAGATGAACACTTTCACAACCTTCTTTTTTATCTGTTGTGTCCTCACACCATACACCACGTTTAGCAGCGGGGGGAAGAGCACGTACAGGTTGGCCAGGAGAATGTGGATGTGGTGGGGGATTTCCTGACCGAACCGATGTGTTAAAACAGTGAAAAAAGCAGGAATATAGAAAAGTAAAATAACACAGACGTGAGAGCCACAGGTGTTAAAAGCCTTGTGGCGGGCAGTCCTGGAAGGGAGCCTGAATAACGCCAGGAGAATTAGGACATAGGAGACAGCAATGAGCACAACATCTACCACTATTGCGGCGAAGGGCACGGCCAGGCCGTACAAGATGTTGATGGAGATGTCGGCGCAGGCCAGGCGGGCGATGCCCATGTGCTCGCAGTAGGTGTGGGGGATGACGTTGTGCCCGCAGAACGGCAGCCTCTTCAGGAGAAATATACAGGGGAAAATGATGCAGAAACTTCTCAGCAAAGCCACCAGCCCGGTTTTGACGACAGCTGACTGGGTCAGCACCGTGGCGTAGCGCAGCGGGTAACAGATGGCGACGAAGCGATCGAACGCCATGGCCAGCAGGATCACCGACTCTGCCGAGAAGCTGAAGTGCAGGAAGAACATCTGGGTCAGGCAGGCGCCGAAGTAAATCTCCCTGGCGCTGAACCAGAACAGAGCCAGCATCTTGGGCACGGTGGTGGTGGACAGCATCAGGTCAGCGATGGCCAGCATGGACAGGAAGAGGTACATGGGCTGGTGGAGGCTCCGTTCTGTCCTTATGACAAACAACACAACACTGTTTCCCAGCAGGGCAGCCAGGTACATGGAGCAGAAGGGGACTGAGATCCAGATGTGTAACTTCTCCATGCCTGGGATACCCACCAGGATGAATGTTGCAGGTGTCAGGCTGGTAAGGTTGAGTGGTGGCATGTTTCACCTGAAAGCAAAGGCAGAACACACTGCAGGATGTTATCTTAGAGCCTTAAGCTCTTCCATCACTACCAAATAATCCCTGCTGTCACCTTCTGATCTGCTAACAGCCACAGCCAGATGTATGAACCAGAATCACGAAGAACCACGACATGCAATGTATTGCAGCGTGTACTTGTACCACTGTCACGTCTCAACAGCAACGTCCAAATTTTCCTCTCACTTGATTTTAACACGATGTAAGTGCATTTTTCTTCTAAGTGCTTCCACCTAGAGCAGAGTGAATGGAGAGAGAATCAACCCTCATGGCACAGATACCTCAATGTTCCCTAAGTCCAGAGTAGAAGGAAGAAGTTGGGCAATGAGAGAGGAAAGGTCAAGTGTTTGCAAGGATGCACAAGATGTTCTCAGACGTCAGGAACTGGGCACAGCTGGGAGTTTTAAGGTACCTGGACTCACACTGAATTAGAGAACAAAATTAGCTCTAGGTCTGAAGTTGGCTGCCCATGTTCCTTCCTTCCCTCCAGACTTCTCTCTCTCTTTCCTTTTGTCTCTGGGACCTGGTTCAATTTGCTTTGCACATCTTTGTCAGCACAAATCTAGCAGAAATAAAATTTAACCAGACAACTGGGAAGACCCTTGGGTCAGGAGAAAACCTGTGTGAGAAGGAGTTCCCCCAGCAGCCAAGGAAAGGGCTGCACTGCTGCCCTGGAGAGGTCTGAAGAGCACCAGAGGCTGGATCAGACCCTGACTCACACAAATGAAAACGGGATGCTGCTTTTTGCCAGCAGCTTCTGCAATAACAGTCAGCTCCTAAATATCAAAACTCAAAATAGGAATTACCCATAACACAGTCGAGATGAGAGAGCGATGCAAGGACTTCAAAACAAAACTGGGAGGTTGTTGCATACCAAAATATTGACTCCGTGTGTGAGAAAGCAATTGTATTTTAAACAACAGAGCTGATTCCCTGCTCACGCTCCATGAGAGACACATTTCATGTCTAAAACATCCTGAACCAAGAAAGTCCGAGGGGTCTGCTCCATAGAAACAAAATATGACAGTGGACTGTCTGTAAAAATAAAATTAGTCAAAATAACAGCTAACTAATTCTGTAAATTATTTAAAGCAACTCAGTATGAATACTGCATCAAATAAAAATATATGTGGTGTATTAGCAGGCAAAATATTATTTATGCTGATTGCATATATCTTCTGTGCTGTCACACCCAAACTAGTCACCTCCTGCTAAATTCAAGTGTTAAACTGCAAATAAACAAGGATGCACTGCACCTGCAGGTGGGAATCTCAGTGCAAGCAGGAGCTCTGGGCCAGAGGAGCCTCTCAGCATTAGATCCCTTCCTCCATCCTCGAATCACCACTGTAAATCTGCAAATAAAGGTAAATCTGCAGATAATGAATACAAATACAGCTCGAAGGACACATCTCCTGCAGCTACCTCTGAGCAGCCCCTTGGGTTCTTCTTTCCTAAAATCTTTTCATCCTAATTTTTTCATTCCTGCAGAGCTGCCGAAGGATTACACAGAGCACATCCCAGAACAAGGGCTCTGGTCCAGGATGCAGCTTCCTGGGAGAGGGGACAGAGACTCCCCTGCCACCCATGGGGCAACCTCCCCCAAACAGGATTTAGAGGAATATTTCATCAGTGAATCATTGCCTCCTAACAAGAGAATGAAAATAATACAAGTATTGCTCTTGCATGGGCTGAGCACGTTGGCAGGTCTCCCATGGGAGATGCTGGGGATGCTGGAGCTGACCCAGGTGGGCTGTGGGCACTGGCCAGGGTGGACCACAATGGCTTTGCCTCCATGTACCTCAGCCCGTGTGTGGTTTACTCCTGTCTGCCTGTCACTAACCCAGCAAGCCCAGCTCTCAGAAACACAACATCCCAGTTAGAGAGTGGCTGATCTCACAGCTCAGCGAGGGAAAGCTCTACCCGTGGTTCCTGGTAACAGGGAATTTGGCATCTCTGTGCCAGCTTCTCAAGGACCACAATGGCTTTGCCTCCATGTACCTCAGCCCGTGTGTGGTTTACTCCTGTCTGCCTGTCACTAACCCAGCAAGCCCAGCTCTCAGAAACACAACATCCCAGTTAGAGAGTGGCTGATCTCACAGCTCAGCGAGGGAAAGCTCTACCCGTGGTTCCTGGTAACAGGGAATTTGGCATCTCTGTGCCAGCTTCTCAACATCCTAGATATCCTTCTGGCCCCAAATCCACAATGCCAACAGCTCACCAGATCCCTGACCTTAAGAGGAACGCGGATCCTGACCATGCTCGGTGTGGGGGCTTGTACCTCTGTGCAGGATCCTGGAGGATGGAGGAAGCACTGTGTCCTCCTGGGCAGCTCCAGCAGTGCCTCCAGCTGAGGAGATGTGCCCTGGGATGTGGGCCCCCCACTCCTCTAGCCCCACATTATAAGCATGTTGCTCTCTGCAGACCCACTGGCAGGTCCCTAACGCCTGGCTGGTGTCTCCCTGCCTCCCTTCCCACCAAGGGCACAATTATACCTGCCCTGCTTTGTATCTCCCATCCCCAGGGCCCAGCTTGGACTGACATGATGTAGCTGCAGGTTGTGCAACACACAGTCAAGCTTTGGAAAAACAGGTGTGATGAGACCCAAAAAAGCAGCCAGAGTGACCAAAAGAGCTGAGCATCCAGATGTGCAAACTCGATGCGATGACTCTTGCAAGTACCTCAGCGCATGTGTATAAATAGCAGCCCATGTTTTGAATTATTGAGTGTGATACACAACACTCTGGTGATTGATGCAATAAAAGGAGCTGCACGAGGTTCAACAAGGCCAAGTGCTGGGTCCTGCCCTTGGGGCACACCAACCCACGGC